CCATTCTTTTTCTACATATAACCAATTCATGAGTTACACATGCAATGAAAAGTATTTATTCTCTAATCCTTTTCTTTTAGGACTTTAATTTCAATTTAAAATTTTAAATACTAACCACCGAATATATATTTTATTATAATGTTTAAAGTCTTTTCAATTGTTGTAATTTTCTCTGTTTTTTTTATAAGGATTGGAATAAATTTAACAAAACACTAGGAAACATCAATATTTCTATGTATCTCTATACATTAAAAAAAACAAAGGTGACAGATAACGTAGAGGAAGGGTAATCACAAGTGACGGAAGAAATATAATTAGTGCCCATGTTGGCTTTCTTTGTCTATGTGAGAGCCAGGATGTCCCTTCTTGCCAAGTTTATTAACATGTTCATATTCCCAAAATCATTTTGTTTATCTTTTTATTTTTCATTTTCCTTTTTCTAACAGGCAATGAAGACACTTGCTTTAGAATTGAACAGGCAACCGAACCCAATCTTCACCAATTTTAATTTGTCAATCAAAAATAAGAATTAAAAAAAAAAAAGAGGATGTTGTTGTTTTAGTGCTGATCATAAAGAGAAGCCAAACTAATCAACGTGAACTGATTGGACTAGTTATCAAGAAAATCCCACTTTACAAACAGTTCTCTCCAATAATGCACGGTATCTAAAATATTCTTTTAAAAGCCCTTTTGTATTTGTTTTTGGTTCATGTATTTATTAGTGCTTCAAGTTTGAATTTTTCAGCGAATTATAAGGAACTTTCTCTAAGTCTTGACAAAAATTCTCAAACATAAAGAAAAAGGGTTTTCGTCGATTAACAAACAAAAGTGAAAAAGGAAAAGAAAAGAATGCAAAAAGACAAGTTAAATTTGGACCTTAGTAATTTGCAACTTATGCAAGCTTAATTAATACCAAAATTCCTATAACAAATAATCATGTATATGGCCCATTAATTCTACCATTTCCTAGGGTACTGAGGTTAGCAAGAATTAATATTACCACAATTTCATCTTAGATATTAGTATTTAATGAGCCTCGTAAACCCCTTTGAGAAAATGAAAATTACTTCTTCACACTCGTGATGGTCAAGAGGTGAAAGTAAATATGTGTGGTGTATATAATGCAAATTAACGATAGATATATAAGCATAGATTGACATGACTAGAGTAGCAAATCTAAAATAGACACAAAACGAAGATATATTAAAGAAGTTTCCCAGTGTTTTCAACTTCTAACCTTCAACATTCTCATGATGATTGTAAAATATCAATCGTAATTCATGTTTAGCTTGACTTAATTAACGGCCGTACTACCCATTTCTGGGATGAATAAAAATCAAAGGTTCGAATGTCCTCTTCTCTTTATTCAAATGTTTTGCATATGTAAAATTAAAAAGAAAAGTGTTTACATACTGGTGTTGAGATGGATTAACAGCAGGAATGATGCTAACAAGCGCTTTTCCTCTTCTTGGCCCCAGTAAGTATTTGTTTCCATGCGGAAAGTTAAAAGGGTTTGTCTGCAACTTTATGGAAATTTTACTTCAATAATATGTATCTATCATGGTTTAGATACATATGGGCATTTTTTTCTTCTTGTTTTCTTTATTTAAGCTTTTCTTTTTCAGGTACAAAATTTTATAACGTTATGTTTTTTTTATTATAAGTGATAATTGAGTGGATTGAATCATTTTAAATCACAAGTAGTAAAGCGTCATATAATATTTTAGGTTAACTCAATTCTAGTTCAAGTTATTCAAATCCTGTAATTTTGAGTCACATTAAATCAAAGTTGGATTACCTCACATGTTGAGTCATTTTGAATTTTAAGTTTTTCCTAATCACTTGAAATCTTTATTTTACTAATATATATATTACTTTTTTATTTTAATTATTTGAATCTTTTGTTGCACGAGATGTTAAAATCAATGGCATACCTAATTTCTGCATAATCTAAAATCTTAACTTTTAAATTTAAATTGTAATAAATTAATGGTTTCCAATTACGTGAACAAATACACAAAACACAACATATATATATATATATATATATATATCCAATTACAATAATGTTGTATACAATTTATTGAAAATTGTATGAAATCCATGATACTAGACCTTGCACAATTTTACACAATTCATTATTATGATTGTATAAATGTGATAAAAAAAATTTCGTCTATATCATCATTTGCCAAAAAAGACCTCTTTATCCATAAAAAAAAAAAAGAAAAAGCCTATTAATAAATTAATTGTAAGCAGCATATATCAGAATAGGACAAAGGATATGAAAAAAAACTTTAGCCTAATTAATTTCTTTTCAAATGAATTCTAGAATTTTAAATTTAGTCTTTTAGTCGTGGAGGAAACTTAATTTATGTGATAGCGACCTCAAAATTTCCCCTTTTATTGTATTTTTGTCCATGATGATGGGCGCATGAATATAAATATATAATAATATTATTTATTTTTGCATGTAAATAATATATATATTTATTTATTTTTGCATTATGTATACAATGACGACGATGATGATCCAACGATCATTATATATAGGAATATTATTACTGTTATTCTTGGCAAACCGGCCAAATTGATTTTTGCATGCTTCTCCTATGAACAAAGATGGTTTTATTTTGGGAAATTATGTACCAAATAAATGGAGAAACAGGGATGGTCTTATCTGAGGCAGCGAACATGCAAGCCAGGTTCTGGAAAATAACAAAGCAAGCTGATGACCTACTTTCTCCTGTCTTTCTCTTTTTGCTATTTTTCAGATAAGGGATTATTTTCTTCTCTCTTTTTGATAGCATTGGTGGGGGAAGAAGAAGAGCAAATGGCAATAATTTTGAGACACTTGGCCTGATACATCTACTTCAAGTGAAAATTTTCTGATCACCATAAATGATAGAATTTTTGTCTCCTTCAAACCCTTTCTTCTCTTATTCACAGCACACCTACCACTAAT